ATTAATTGACCAACTAAAAATATATATACAAAAAATTAGCCGGGCATGGTGGCGCATGCCTGTAGTCCCAGCTACTCAGGAGGCTGAGGCAGTAGGATCGCTTAGCCCCAGAGATTGAGGTTGCTGTGAGCCAGGCTGACGCCACGGCACTCACTCTAGCCTGGGCAACAAAGTGAGACTCTGTCTCAAAAAAAAAAAAAAAAGAAGTTTCCACCCACCCCAACTTCAGCAACCACCACCCTGATGAGTCAGCAGCCATCAACATAGAGGCAAGAGCCTCCACCAGGAAAAAGATTACCACTCACTGAAGGCTCAGATGACTGTTAGCATTTTTTAGCAATAAATTATATTTTAATTAAGGTATGTACATTGTCATTTTAGACATAATGCTATTGCACACTTTAGAGTATATTACAATCATAACTTTTATATGTACTGGGAAACCAAAAATTTTGTGTGACTTGCTTTACTGCAATATTTGCTTTATTGAGGTGTTCTGGAACCAAACCCGCAAAATCCACAACAGGATTTAGAAAACCCTAAGTATGCCTGTATTGTGTTTTGTTGTGACTATTTTAATCATTTTTAAGAGTACAATTCAATGTCATTAAGTATATTCACTATCACCACTGTCCATTTCCAGAACTTTTTAATCATACCAAGCAGAAACACTATGCCCATTAAACAATAATTCCTCATGCACCACCACCCCAGCCCCTGGTAACCATATTATATTTTTGGGTTCTAGGAATTTTCATTATTCTAGATACTTCATATAAGTGAAATCATACAGTATTTGCCCTCTTGTACCTGGCTTATTTCACTCAGTACAATGTTTTTAAAGTTAATACATCTTGTAGCATGTTTAAGAATGACATTCCTTTTAAAGGCTTAATGATATTCCACTGTTTGTACATGCCACATTTGTTTATCCATTCATCTGTTGATAGTCACTTGGGTTGTTTCTACCTTTTGGCTATTGTGAATAATGCTGCTATGAACACTGGTGTACAGCATCAGTCTGCGTCCCTGCTTTCAACTCTTTGGGACATATACCTAGGAGTGGAATTGCTGAATCATATGGTAATTCTGTGTTTAACATTTTGAGGAACTGCCTGTTTTCCACAGCAGCTGCACCATTTTTACATTTCTACCCACAATGCACAAGGTTTCTAATATCGCCACATCCTTGCCAACACTTGTAATTTTCCATCTTTTTGTTTGTTTGTTTGGTTTGTTTTTGATAACAGCCATCCTAATGGGTATGAAGTGGTATCTCACTGTGGTTTTGATTTGCATTTCCCTAATGACCAGTGATGTTGAGCATCTTCATGCATTTATTGCCATTTATATATCTTCTTTGGAGAGATATCTATTCAAGTCCTTTGCCTATTATCTTTTAAAAATGCAAACCTACTAAAAACCCTTCAATAGTTTCCTTGCTCTCAGAATAAAGTTCAAAGTCCACAACATGATCTAGAAGGCCCTAACAGGTCTGTCCCCAGCTCACCACTCCAGCCTTATTTTGTACCTCTCTACCCCTCCTCACTCGCTCCACCCACACTACACTGCCCAACTGTCTGCTTCTCCCAGTTCTTTGAACCTGCCAAGCTCCTTCTCATCTCAGGGTCTCTATAGATGCTACTCCTTCTTCCTATACCACTTTTCCTTCCCCTCTACCTGGTTATCTCCTGCCTTTCCTCAGGTCTCAGCTTAAACATCCTAAACTTCTCCTTCATAGCACATGTCACACAATGAGTAAAATGATAAAACTGTCTACATGATGGTTTTTATCCATCTCCCCCTAAAATATGAGCTCCTTAATGGCAGAGACTTTTTCTATCTTATTAAAAATGTCACCTGGCAGACTGTAGGCTTTCAATAAATATGTGTTAAATGAATACATGAATGACGTTTCTTTCTCATTGTGCAAATTTTCTAAGTTCTAAGGAGTCTGTTTTTTTTTTTAGGTACAAAACAGTATTTCCAATTTTCAAATTTTTCAGTGTAAATTATATAAAATATAATGTAATACTAGTAATACTATTACTTATTTAGTTGCCTCTGATTCAAAACTATGTTTCTTTGAAGAAAATCTATAAGTATACTATTCTCTAGAAACATATCAAAAACATTTATATGTTCTATTCTCAGTAAAGAGTGATAGAATTATTTCAATTTCATTCATTTTTACTCCACCAAAATGGTATAGATTTGCCAGGCTGAAACAATTCATTTCCTTTCATTTACACACTTATCTGTGAAGGCAGCATGAAGTATGCCATAGGAATCATCTCTCTTTGGAGCCTATTACGTATGCTTTGTAATTTACTGGAAATTGAAATCATCAGTAATCATTTCTTCTGTTCTCTTGTCAGGCTAGGGTCCTTTTTTTAGAGCTTTCTTTTCAGGTTTTACCAACACATTTTTTCAAGTCATTTTTCCTCTTCTTTTAAAATAAAAATGTGCCTACAAAGTTCAAAATTTTAAAATAGTGCCTTCCTAGATAGCACTTGGAATAAAGAATAGAGCAATTTCAAAGCAGAATTTCTTTCTTACCCAATTCAGGCATTTATCTTTCCCTAGAGATATGTAAATAAATAAAGAAGTGAGGTCCATACATAAAGAGAAAACAGTGCACTAAGATGTTCACCTGAAAACCACACTCTAATTCAAATATTGTTAAGGGTCATTGTCAACATGTTTAGGCCAAGAGCACAATCTACTTTTAAATTGTTGTAACCCGATAGAAGGGATAAAAGTTTGACATAGCATTCCTCTAAAGACAGCAGTGTAAGAAGATGAGCAATAAATCCATAAGGAGGTGGATACAGCCAGGCAGACATTATAGAAAAGGCACCAGGAAAAATCAATAACTGCAGAAAGGGACAACAGAACCTATGGGTAAAGGGGACCTGTAAATTCTAAGGATTTAAGATCTTTCAGGGAGTTTTCATTGGATTAGGGTATTTTTCTCAAAATCTTGCCTCTCAGTTTAAAAAAGTGAAGGCTACCTTCTTAACCATAAATTCGTAATATTTTTAAAAAGTAACCTAAAATGCAAATCCTTTTAATGTCCAGTTCCATAAATGTGTCTGGCACTTCAGAAACATTCAGAAACCATCCCTGGATATTCTAATCAGTTATCAAAGCTGGTAAGATAAAATATGATGCTAAAAGGGGTGTTACAAATCCCAGTGATTTACCTGTAAGATTCTCTTTATGAAGCTCTATCACTTCGCTAGTTGGATAGCTAATCACCCAACTAGCTATTATGGTTAAATGGATAATGGATGTAAAACATCCAACACTGTTAGCACAGAAGAAGTACTCAGTAAGTATTAGCTATCCTTTGTTCACATGGCATTGCCCCAAGTCTTAGGAAATACCATGTCTCCAAACTGACAGTCCTGGTAATTTGCTTTGGAGGGCAGTATCTTTGTTCCCAAACAGGTTGAGAACAGTAGTTTTTCCTTCCTATTTGAAAATTAGAAAGAAAGCAAGATTTCTGTAGGACCTAACTTAGGCACTGTCAGAGTAAAGGAGGTAAGCAACCCAAAATGACAGCTGTCAGGAAAGAAAAAAATCTTAATGGTAATAACTAGGTTTCTTCAAAAATAACTTTTTCCAGAGAGTTGATACCAGAAGTAACTGTGTAGCTAAGCCTCCAGAGAATAGGGAACTACCATTCTACTGTTTTCCTTTCTTTCACGGGTAAGTTTCTCGAAACAGTTGTCTATACATGCCATTCCCAATTCCTCTCTTCACTTTGAACCTACTCCAATCAAGCTTTCCTCCTACTACTTTTCTAAAACTGCTTCTCAAGGGCATGCAGGATCTCCTTGTTGCCAAATCCAGTCATCAATCATTGGTCCTCATCTTACACGACGTCTCGGCAGCCTGACACAGCTCATCACTTCATCCTGTGGAAACGCTTCTTACCTTGGCTTCCAAGACATCACCCTGCCAAGACGCCACTCTGCTCCTGCCTCACGGGCAGCTCCTTCTCAGTCTTGTGTGCTGGATCCTCCTCCTGTCCTCAACCTCTGAACACTGGTGACTTCATTCAATCTCACAGCTTTAAGAAGCACCTTATGCTGATAATTCCTAAATTTACATATCCAGCTCAGACTTCACCCCTGGACTTTAGATATAGGATATGCCTCTTCAACAACTCCACCTGGATATCTAAAAGGCATCTCAAATCCAAGATGCTCAAAATGAGTTTCTCCAAAACCTTTTCTCTTTCTTATCTCAGTCTACTGTAATTTCATCCTTCAACTGTTCTGGCCAAAAACCTTGGTAGCATTCTTGATTCCTTTCTCTTTCTTACCCCATATCAAATCTATTGGCCAAAGCCATTGGTGCTATCTTTAAAATACTGAATATATCAGAACCTAAAGCATTTTTCCCCACCTCTACTGCTTCTACCCTCATTCAAGCCACCACCACCTTTTGCCTAAATTATTCTTGTTAGACTGTGCCTGCCCTTGCCCCTGTACAACCTATAGTCCACCTAGTAGTTAGAACGATCAGATCACAGGACTCCTCTGCTCAATAATCCCCCACTGGCTCTTCATCTCACTCAACCAAGCCCTATGCAATCTGGTCCCATTTCCTTTCTGACACTGTCTTATATAAATACTACTTTCAGGCCAGGCGCAGTGGCTCACGCCTGTAATCTTAGCACTCTGGGAGGCTGAGGCGGGTAGATTGTGCGAGGTCAGGAGTTTGAAACAAGCCTGAGCAAGAATGAGACCCCGTCTCTACTATAAATAGAAAGAAATTAATTGGACAACTAATATATATAGAAAAAATTAGCTGGGCATGGTGGCACATGCCTGTAGTCCCAGCTACTGGGGAGGCTGAGGCAGCAGGATCGCTTGAGCCCAGGAGTTTGAGGTTGCTGTGAGCTAGGCTGACGCCACAGCACTCACTCTAGCCTGAGCAATAAAGCAAGGCTCTGTCTCAAAAAAAAAAAAAAAATACTACTTTCCTTCTGCTTTAGCCCTAGTGGGCTCCTTACCATTCCAAAATCATACCAGGTGTGTTCCTGCATCAGGGCCAGTTGCTGTTCCCTGGAACACTCTTTGCCCACATTGGCTTGTCCACTAATCTTCTTTACTCAGATGTCACCTTTTTTATAATGAGGCCTTATCTATTTGAAATTGCAAACCCCACCCTATAAATATCCTCTTCCCTAGTCCCTGTCCTTGATTTATTTATTTTGTTTATTGTCTGTCTTTACCCATTAGAACACAATTTCCATGAAGGCAATTTTCTGCAAACTGTACTTTGCTGAATCCTTAATGCCTACAGTACTCAGGTTGTTCAGACTGGTCTGTGAAATCTTAAGATGGAAGGCAGTGCTCAGGCAGCACACAGGGTAAGGTGCGTTCTGGGCAAAGGCCGCATTATGTTTAATGATACAGATTAATGAACTAGAGTAGCATACATTTGGAATTTATAAGCCATTTGGTTTGGTTAGAGCTAAAGGTTTCAACAGGAAATGAGACTAACAAAGTATGCAGAGATCTAACACTTACTAAGCATTTATTCTTACACTGTTTTATGCAATTTAGTCACCATAGAATTCTTTTCCTACAAAGAAGGCACTATTGTTATCTCCATCTTACAGGTGTACAAACTGAGGATAACTCTTTATCCTCAGGATAACTCTTTAAGTGACTTGGCCAAAATCACTCAGCTGATACACAAAAGCTAAATTTAAAGCCTGGCAGATTGACTCTAGAACTCCACCCTTAATCATTATACTACATTGCCTCTGTGCTATGATCTTAAGTTTCATGGTACAGATGGGGAGGAGCCACTGAAAGGTTTACACTGGGAATTGATATGTTTAATTGGCATTTTAGGAAGACAGAAACATAGAAAATGGACTAGACAAGGGCAAAGAGACCGGAAAGGTGCAAGCTAGAGACACTGAAGGCAGGATTTAAGTCAAGGAGTAGGAAGAACAGAGGATAGATTTTAAAAACACTTAGAATGTAGAAATTATTAGGGGTTTTGATAGTGTGGTGGCTGAAGACCAGGAATTCCTACTCTGCCATTTACCATTCTTTCCATGTGTATTTACATTTTAAAAAAAGACTAAGAAATCAAAAACTGAATGAAATAGAAGTATCACCATATTATTAGTTGGCTCAGCACCCAAATACCACAAAGCATGAATCTAGGAAAGCAGGACTAGGGCATCTGGCTTAGGATCAAGGGCAACTAAGGGCCTCTCTCTTTCTGTAAGTCCAATGCTATGTCTTGGGATTTTCCCTTCTTCAGGCCAAGAACACAGTACAGAGACCTGAAGCAGTGTCCAGCATATTTAGGATCACGTGCAAAGAGAGTAAGAATGAGATCACAGGATCAACGTCCGGGTTGCACAGTGTTCTGCGAACTTATTACACTACAGGAAACGCTCAAGAGGAAGAACAATATGGCAAGGCTGGCCCAGTCCCAAAGATAAAGAAAATGAAAGAAAGAAGACTCTATGGCTGCATAGTAAATATAACCTGATCAATGTCCTGGGCTCTGACCACTCAGATTAGCATATTGTTAATATACAGTTGTCCCTTTGTATCCACAGGGGATTGGTTTCAGGACCCCCTGGGATACCAAAATCAACAGATACTTAAGTCCCTTATATCAAATGGTGTAGTATTTATATAGTATAACCTATACATATCCTCCTGTATACTTTAAATCTGCAGTCCCCAAAGCCTGGGCTGATCTGTGGCCTGTTGGGAACCAAGCCGCACAGCAGGAGGTGAGTGGCAGGAGAGCAAGTGAAGCTTCATCTGTATTTACAGTCACTCCTCATCACTCGCCATCCACCATCCTCCTATCTGTGGAAAAACTGTCTTCCATGAAACCAGTCCCTAGTGACAAAGAGGTTGGAGACTGCTGCTTTAAATCATCTCTTTAAATATGTACTACGATATAAATGCCATGTAAACAATTGTTACATTGTATTTTTTAAATCTGTAGGTTTCTTATTGTTGTATTATTTTTCACTAGGGGCTTTTCCCACATACAGCATTTTCAATCTGTGGTTGGCTGAGTCTGCGGATGCAGAATCCATAGATACAGAGGGCCAACTGTATTTTAAAAAGCCATCAGACACTAAGCGTAATGAAAACGAAAAGGGCAAAAGACACACCATGAAGGGTCAATATGAAAATAAAATTAATGCCAAGATAGTGGTGAGGGGACTATAATTTCGCTTGATATTGATTAGATTTGGAGGGGCAAGTCAGTCACTAAAACAGATCCAACAACAAAGCTGTCACCTCAGCCAGCTTTACTTGAATCCCAGCATCTTTAAGACTGACATTTTGAGTGCTGGAAAGAAAAATCTGGATAGCCTTTACACCATAGTCTCTAATTTTAGTTGAGGGTTGGGACACATGGCCTCTCTAGAAAATAAGGAGGCAAAAAGTCTTTTTAAAATATTCTAGACAATGTAGGATACTGTCTGCCATAATAGCCAGAGCCAACAGAAATAATCTTTCCACCCTTGAAAAAACATAGATAATAGCAACACTTCCCATTAGTAATCTAACTAAATGATACACCTTGAAAGATCTAGGACTGATTACTAAGCCACTGGGAAGAGGAAGTTCTGGGTCCAGTATACCTCCATAATGTTTTTAATACTGCATACATAGAAGACAATCAACAAAATATACTATTTACTAATTTAGTTGTCTTAGTGTCACCAACATTTTAATGAAAATATATTCTTGATCATCATAATAAAAGAAACCACATGGATTTGAACCTTTTCAGCTTATAAGAAGGTAAATCTCAGAGTAAAATTCTTGTGCAAACATTAAGATGTATGGTTAGCATGATATACACACTACATGATATGCCATAAAATGGAGGAGGTGGAGTCAGTCACACATCATACTTTTCAGTGAAGAGCAATCTCACAACTATTAAGACATTCATGATGTGCCCATCACACAAGTGTTACAGATGACTCCACAAATCCTGTGAATGTTTCGTCCCCAGATCAAAGGAGTTATCTAAACTACACAATGACTAATTCAACCCCTCCCAAAGGGATGAACTTTTCCAATAAAGAAAAATAAATTGAAATGCCAGCTACTTTAAATCAACCACTTAACTAACATGTTGCTACTTAAATTGCAGATAAATATTCTGGCCTAAATTCAAGGGAAGCATGAATGCAAATGTGAGTTATAAAAAATGAGCTCTATTTAGAAAATGGCTTTAAGGTATACATTTACTTTAAGACTCAAAAAACAGTCTTTTGATTTTGTTAGAATAGGGTTTGCATGCTGTTGGAAGTTACCAGAAAATCAACCGTGCATTATAGTTTCAACTGATATACGTTCTTTTCACATATTTCAAAACCCCAAAATACTGAATTCTCTAACACCACCACAACCTTGGGGTATTCCCCAGATGCTAAGACTTAAAAAAAAAATCCAAAAAGGAATGTCATCCCCAGAAATAATGGGCTTCACCTCGGCTGCAGTAAAAGCAGCCAGCAGGGCACATCAGAGGCTACTCTTGCTGCTGCAGCTAAGCCTGCCAAGTCTACCAGTGGGCCAAATTAAGGCTGGTAAAGTTACAAACACGTTTTCCTTTTCAAATGGATTAGGAAGCTCCAAAATGTATTCATCCTGGAATCTGAGTAACATCAAAGGTATAGGTAATGCTACTGAATAGAAACAAAGACTTCAAAAACAACACTGCTACATTCCCCTTAAACACCTCCAAACTGGAAATCTTTATTTATGTAATGTCTTTTGATTTAATGAGTGACCTTGAGTCCTTTCTCCAAGATAAAAGTATAATCTGGTGGTTAGCCATTCTTCTAGAACAGACTATTGCTCACCAAGGTTCTGTTTCTTTGCCTCACTGGTTAAAAGACAATTTTACTCAAGATGAGTCACACCTCTCTCTCTCTCTCCAAGCCAGTGTTTGTTGCTGCTGTTCATTACCAGCAAAACTGTAGAGGGAAGACAGATGAATAAAGACAAGTACACAACCCATTACAGGAGGCTCTCCTTATTCCAGGGCAACAGTTATCTGAGAAAGGACATTTAAAGTGAATTCACTTAAAATAGGGAGCAAAATTTCTTAGCGAATGTGGAAAAACGGTTTCATTAAGTTAAAATTTGAGATTAAATATAAGCATATTTTATCTTCTATTTAACAAAATTTTAAAAATTTAAATAATAAATACAACTATGTGCTAACCAAAATAGTAGAAGTAGTAATAAACATTTGTTAGATACTTTTTAGTATAGTTTTTCTAACATTTCCTAACTGTCTCAGCACAATTATAGTGAGGGATATTCTTCCAAAAATATCTGGACATCACTAATGGAATTTAATTTTTAATAGATTCCTCTCTTAAAATGCCTACCATGTCATCATTTTGGTGAATTTTCTCTTTTTCAACTGTTTACTAGTCTAATACTGCCAGAATTTTATTTGCTAATGGCTTCGTATGTGAGTCTGGCAGTTCTTCAACCTCACTTTTCTTGATTTAATGAAATCATTATTTCCTGTATTTTTGCAAAATTTAACTTTGCAACTGAATACACTAATTTTACATCTTTCCAACAATCAGAGAAACACTGTAACTAATGGGATGGGCAGGGAGAGTATTCATCAGGGATGAATGTTTGAGTGGGAACTAATTTTACACGTGGACAGTTCATTAGTGGACATTTTTATACTATGATTACTTCTGTTCCCTATGCAACCTTCAAGACGGCAAGGCATGAGATATCCAATATTCAGATAACAAGGGCACCATATACGAAAGGCCACAGTTACCATAGAAATGCCTCTGTCTTCAGGAATTAGAAAAGTTTCTCAGGGCACTAGATGCATATCCCAGAGGCACATCCTAACATTCTACATGCTAATATTGCCTTTCTGCATGCCCTATCATCACAGTATAAATAGACTGAATAAAATGATATCTAGTATGAATCTCACTCTTTGATAATGAAAATGATTTCAATCTAGCACCATTCAGTAACCACAGCAGCAAAATTAGTATCTCCACTTACCAATTTAAGCATCCAAATGTATACCTGGCAACTGCCAGATTCCAGACCTACCAAAGGTATTAAATGCTCTTAGAAGATTAAAAGATACAAGGCATATGGATATTATTGTCCTGTAAAGTGTGTGTGTGTGTGTGTGTGTAAGAGAGAGAGAGAGAGACAGAGAGAGAGAGAGAGAGAGAGAGAGAGAGAATGAATTTGATCACCCTGTAGTAAAAGCTATTATTTCAGAATCCTGAAGTCCAAAATAAAACAATATTTTTTATCTTTGAAGCCTCACAAAAAAACAAAGATAATGCCAAAAGATGATAAACAGAGATGGAAAAGACAGCATTGTGTGTTAAAAAGACCTTTAGAGTCAGACATACCTAAGCTTCAGTCCCAGCTGTTATGTTCTAGCTGTGTGACTGTAAGCTCATTATGGTCTCTAGGTCTCAGTTTCCTCATTTGTGACATATAACAGTTGGGCAATACCTCCCAGGTAAGACCAAATGAAATACTCAAAATGTCTGGTAATTGTGGGTACTACCTGTCTTATAAACCATCTTAGCTAATAAAAAATAACTTTCCTCCTTCTTCCAGGCATTATGACAATATATAAACCTTCTAAAGTCTTTGATAAGGCTCTACCTGTCTATAAATACACAGTGATATTAGGGTATCACTATGTGGACTTTGTCAAAATCCCTTGATAAAGCCAATATCATAAACAAAACTTCCCTGAAAACAATGAGGTCCTAGACCAAGCATGCATCTCCTAAGCCTTACAAATAACGGGGAGAAAGTTATTTTAATATGTAAATCGGTGACACTGTATAACTGACTGTGTGGGTTCTTTCTTGGTGACACTGTATAATATAACAGACTGTGAAGTTCAGCATATCTGGGGTTAGACTTATAGACCTTTCTGGTTTTGAAATCTTGAACAACGAACGTAACCTTCCTGAGGCTGTGTAGAATGAGAATAATAAAGCCTATCTCTAAGAGTAAGGAGGAGTCTAAGAAAGTAACCAAAAAAATAAAAAGAACTGAAAAAAAAAAAAAAACTTGTGTAAAAGCACCCAGTAGCATAAGGCATCCTTATTAACAACACCCCAAAACTCTTCATTTTCAAAATAAAATGTCAATAATTTTTGTTTAAAAAAAAAAAAACCCTCCGAAGATCAACATGTGAGTCAGACTCCTTCAGACCCAAACTCTGTACAGCATATTTTAAAACATATGCTTTGCAGTCTCAAAGGCTGCATAGGGAAACAGAAGTCATCATACTATAAAAATATAATATTCTTCCTGTCCTCTCATTACACAAAATGAAGATATGTCTCATTCCATTGGCTATCTTTCTCCCTCTTCAACCTCTTCCTCCTGGATCCTTTTAATCAGCTTTCAAACATGCTTTGGTTAGTACCTCTCATCTTTAAAAAGCACAGGTATTTTTGGCTTCCACACTGTACCTTTATTCACCTTCACAGCAAAGTTTCTCAAAAAAGTTCTCTATTCTTTCTTTCTCCATTTCCTCATTTCCCAAAACTTTTTGTTTTACAATTTCAAATCCCTATTTAATTTTTAAAAAAACAATGTTATAGCAAGTACAACAAAAGATAAATAAAAACCTAATACTATCTTCCTCTTTTTCTTGCCCTATCCTCATTTTCCTAAAGTAATCAACATTAAAGTTTGGTGTGTATCCTTCCACACCATTTTCTATCCTCATATAAATCCATACAAACATTTATATAGATTGGTAAGGCTATTTGATTATTGACAGAAGCAGGAGCATAATTAATACTATCTACAATATGTGTTATTCATCTAACAATTTTTATGGAAATCCCTCTAGGTCAATTCATATGGATATAATTAATTCTTTTTGGTTTTAATTCCCTATTGATGGTCATTTGGGTAGTTTTCAGTTTTTTGACCCTACAAACATGCCTCAATAAACATCTTTACATACACATTTTCTTTGAATGAATTTTACCAACAGGGAAGCATTGCTGGTTCAATGGGCATGTGTATTTTTAATTTTATTAAGTGCACATTTACTTCTTTAACCCACTCTAATCTCACTTCTACCCCTATTATATCAGTAAAACTACTCCTGCCAAGGTGAACAGCACACTCTGTTGCGAAGGCCAGGAGACAATCCCCATTCCTCATCTACTCGACCTCCCCCAGCAACATGTGGCATCATTGACCTGGCCATCCTTCTTGAAACCACACTATCTTGCTTATCCCTTCTTTTGCTGGCTGTTCCTTCTCTTCTACTTGAGCAAATTTTGGAGCACATCCGACTCAGTTCTAGGTCTTTAGGTTCCAGGTCTCTAGGTTTTTCTTCTTCCTCTACACTCTATCACATTCTACCTCTTTTGAATCTAATCAATTCCTATCATTCTCTATGATAACTTTTCTTAAGTTTCTATTTCCAGCCCAGACCTCCTTTTTCAGCCCCAAACCTGTATATTCAACAATGCTCCTTGGAAGTCTCACAAGCTGAAGAACACATCTCAAATCCACTAATTTCTCTCTAACTCCACTGCCATTATCTTTATATATGCAACTACCACACCTGCTCTGCACTTCAACACAGGTCTCCCAACTTATCCCCCTGCTTCCCACTCCCACCCACCTCAATCCATTCCCCACAAAGGAGACAAGGTCAGATTATGTCACATCCTTGCTTAAAACCCTTCCCAGGGACAGCACTTTTGATAGACTGCTACTAGCTCTTTAATGTGCCTCCCACCTCCCAGCCCTGAACAACCTGGTCATTGCCTACCTCTTCCCTCTATCCTGGCAGCCACTCTGCAGCCAGAATGACTTCTCTTCATTTTTTAAAACAGGCCAAGCTCTTTCTTCCCAGGAGGTTTTCCTATCTGTCTCTGCTCCAAATGCTTTTCCTTTTTGTCTTTGCCTATCTAACTCCTAATCATCACTTAGGTCTGTGCTTAAATATCTCTTCCCTAAAAGATATCCTTGACTCACCACTTTAAATTGTATTCCTCTTTTATACCTTTACTGTCCATTTGTGCTTTTCCTTCGCTACATTTATAGCAGTTTATAATTCTTCATTTACAAGTAATTATTTTGTTTAATATCTGACTCTCCTACTAAACTATACAAACTCTATAAGGCCTGGGGATGTGTGTTCAAAATTCTCTACCTTAGCTCTAGTACCTAGCATAGCACTTGATAACTCTTAATATTTATTGAATAAATGAGGAAAAAATACTTTTATTTCATTTGCGAGATCAAAAATTTCATAGAGGAAGTGGCATTTCAGCTTGCTAAAGGAACAGATAGGATTTCAGGAGTGGATATGAGGGAAGAACATTTCAGAAAGAGGAAACTGAGACCAAATGTTTGGTACTAGTTAGAGTCTCCATAATCCAAAATTAAATACAACTCTGTCCCCAAGCATAAAATTGGAATCTCAATGTACAAAAGCAAAGCAGATAATAAAAAATGTCACCATTAAACAATAATTCTGCAACTAGTTCAAACTGACTCCTTTGCAACTTCTGTTTACCAGTGTTATCCCATTTCCCAGCCACATAAGGTTCCAAACTTTAAAACTCTTTTTGATGCAACTTCTTGTTTTTTCTCTATATTCCATCAGTCACAAAGTTTAACTGGTTTTTCTTTTGAAATGTCTTTGACAGCTATTTTCTTTCTCCATTTTAACCAAAGACACCCTAATTGAAGCCCCCTTCACTAATGGGATTACCTCAACTTTCTCCAAAATCAGGGTTTCTCAACTTTGGCACTATTGACATTTTCAGCTGGATGATTCTTTGTTGCAGGGAGCTGTCCTGTTCATTGCAGAATGTTTAGCAGCATCCCTGTCTTCTATCCACTAGATACCAGTAGTTCCCATCCCCTCAAAAATGCCTCCAGACATTGCCAAATGTTCTCTGGGATAGAGGGC